AATGAAGCAGTTTAATGGCATCGCAGATATTTTGAGTGCTGAATTCAGTTGTAATATTTTCCTGTTCGCACAGTTGTTGGATGATTTTGTGCCGGACATTACATAGGTCTAGAAAGTCTGGGTCATATCCTTTGTCTTTGGGGAGAGCCAGGTCCTCGAAATATTTTGAGAAGCTTTGTGTTTGATCAGTGGCAGAGTACTGAAGTTCACCATTTTCCATTATGCATATCGAGTCCTTGTTTCTGTTGCCTCTATTGCGACGAATTAGCCTATGGAACATTTCGTTGCTTGGATTGTCCATCACTTCTTTGTAAAATTGAGCCCTATCTATGTATTGTTCTCTCCTCATTTGTTTTCTTAGATTGCGTTAAGCCATAATTTTGTCCGACTTGAAGTGGTCATCATGTTTACCATGCGATTTCCAAAGATGATATTTTTCCTTACAGATTTGAAGAAGGCTGAGGGTTGTTGGTGATGCCTTGAATTTAGGACCTTTCAGTTTGATGATTTTGGATGGAACAGCAACTGCTGCGGCTTTTTTCAAACAGTTGCACAGATATTGAATGTTTTCTTCCAAAGAGTGTTTATCTATGTTGTATTGAGTAAGTTCTTCATTTATGAGAGAATTAAAGGATTCAGAGTCTAAATCTTTCCATTGAAGTTTGAATTGCCTTGCAAAGTCTGGTTTGACTATTCTTTGTTTAACGTTTGCTTTTACTTCGATTTTTGCACTGACAGGCACATGACTTGAAGTATTTGATGGACACCTATTATGCGTTTTATAGTTAGAGATAATTGTAGAGGTGTTGTTGTATAGAATATAGTCTATTTGAGAACAGGACAGTCCAGAGTGGTGGAAGAAAGTTGATTTGTCAGTACAGCTCTGTTTTAAGTTCATTTCCTGCACAAATGCTTGTAGCAGTCTGTCATGTTTGTTATAATTTCTCGGAGGCTTTAATGTTCCATTGAAATCTCCCGCTATGATAATTCTGTGGGTTGCTGAATATGTTGAAAAGATGGAGCTAATGATATCGAGACATTCAGTATATTCCAGATAAGAGTCTCCAGAGTTGTTTGTAGGCATATAGCAAGATTCAAAACAGAAATACACATGCAAGAAGATATTGTTCATGATTTGTTCGCATATAGGGAAACACCTTGTAGGTTGAATTTTAAAGTTAAATAACTTTAAATTTACCTGCTTTCTTAAGTTTTCGGCCAAATTCTTTAAAAAACATGATGATTTCAACCTTCCCATTTCGTAAAAAGTCAAATTTCAAGCATTTTCCCTTAGAATTACACAGCACTTTTGTAAATATCCGCCAAAGGAAGTTTTTAAAGATACATTAGTTTTAGATACATGACGGAAAAGGACTGGATTATCCGCAAATCTATAATAAATTATATTTTCAATCTTAAGCTAAGGGAAGTAATTTGATCAAAAGGGACAAAGTCACGTGGTGCAAATAATTTAAATAAGGTACCTTTGATTTTGCCATATGACCCCCTTTCCCTCTTGGCAGTTTAAAATTATCAATTTCATGCCTCATTTGTGTCACTGCATCTCATATGCATGTTTTCTAAAACTATGTGGACCTAAACACTATAAAATCTAAAAGATTATTCTTCGTGCGAAAACAGGTGCGTCTGTACAGCTTGAACAGGTGATTCGTATCTACAATTTTCCGATAGGATTCCTTATTTAGTAAGGGGTGAATTCGACAGAACTAAACAAATATGTTTTAATTTAATTAGATATTAATTTCGGACGATTTTATATTTATTTAAGCTACACTAAAGTACTGGATCAGTTTTAGATAGAAATAGAACCGTTTAAGTATGATTTATCGTACTCTATCAGCACACATATTATGTACATGGAAATCGACTAACAAATACAGTCAAAAACCGATAACGAAGTAGATATTAAAGGAATTCCGGAAACTATAGTAATCTTACCAACATTTTAAAAATAAAAAAATTCATGATTTTAAGAAATGTTGAGATAAAGTCTTGGTCTTGAATGAAAAAACGATAACTGCCCAGTAATTTAGTGTGTTCTAAAACGGGTAGAGTGCAAAAACATTTAATAAACATCAAATTGTAGACCTGAAAAGGTGAAGATTATGAAAATCGTATAAAATGTCAAATATTTAGAAGGAATGCAAAAGCATGCGGACTTACAGTTGTAAATATTGTTTTTCAATATTTCAAGAATCTAATTCACTAAATTATTCTGCCTAAAAGAAGAGATACACCTAATTTCCTTTGCTTGAAAAACATGTCGTAATTTTATAATTTTCAAGTAATTTCAGAAATAAATGTCAATTTTACAATAAAATGCTCCGCTGAGGCGCAGCTTGATACAACCACAGAGGTCGAATCCTGAACAGTTGGGGCAAGTATGGACACAACATTCAAGCTTGATACAGCACTTAATTTGGATTGTAATTAAATATTTGACACATCATAGGTTTCTCACACAGAATGAAAGTGGTCTAAGAAATTAAAAATTTTTAATTTACCTATTCAAACCATATCATTATTATTTGCTTTTATATATAAATCATAAATAACCAATTTAAAATGGAAAATTTTAAAGAAAAAAAAGGGGGAAAAAATCCCCCCCCCCCCCAATTTTTTGAACCCCCTTATGATTCATCACCCCCAAACTCAATCCCAGCTTTCCCTTTGTGGTATGGTATCTTGCAGTACAATTTCAGAGAGATCCATACACTTGAACACAAGTTATTGTCTGGAAACAAGAAAAATGCTTGTTTTTTGGCCCCTTTTAAGCCCCAAATTCCTTAACAATTAGGGCAATTACCCCCAAACTCAAACCCAGCTTTCCCTTTGTGATATGGAACCTTGCAGTACAATTTCATAAAGATCCATACACTTACACACAAGTTATTGTCCTGAAACTAGAAAAATGCTTGTTTTTTTGCCCTTTTATGGCCCCTAATTACTAAAATTTTGAGGGAATTACCCCCAAAATCAATCCCAGCCTTCCCTTTGTGGTATGGTACCTTGCAGTACAATTTCAGAGAGATCCATACATTTCAACACAAGTTATTGTCTGGAAACTAGAAAAATGCTTATTTTTGGCCCCTTTTTGGCCCCTTATTCCTAAACTTTTTCGGCAATTACCCCCAAACTCAATTCCAGCTTTCCCTTTGTGATATGGAACCTTGTAGTGCAATTTCATAAAGATCCATACACTTACACACAAGTTATTGTCATGGAACTAGAAAAATGCTTGGTTTTTTTCCCCTAATTCCTAAAATTTTGAGGCAATTACCCCCAAAATCAATCCCAGCATTCCCTTTGTGATATGGAACTTTGTGATGTGGAACCTTGTGATACAATGTCAGAGAGATCCATACACTTACACACAAGTTATTGTCATGAAACTAGAAAAATGCTGGTTTTTTGTTCCTTTTTGGCCCCTAATTCCTAAAATTTGGAGGCAATTACCCCCAAAATCAATCCCAGCATTCCCTTTGGGATATGGAACCTTGTGGTACAATGTCAGAGAGATCCATACACTTACACACAAGTTATGTCTGGAAGTTACAAAAATGCTTATTTGTTGCCCCTTTTTGGCCCCTCATTCCTTAACTGTGGGTCCCATAACCCCCAAAATCAATCCCCACCTTCCTTTTGTGGTATTGAACCTTATGGTAAAATTTCATTGAGATCCATTCACTTAAACTAAAGTTAGAGTGCGAAAACTAATGTGTCTTCGGACGACGACGCCATACCAATATACGACCACAAAAAATTTTTTGCGGTCGTATAAAAACTGCACCGTACGATTTTGTGACGACTGGGCAAAGTTAAATCATTATTCTTTCATTTAAAAAAAAAAATTAGCTGTATGCTAGGTGGGTGCATTAAAGTCATTAACTAGATGTCTTTTTCAAATATGACTCTCGCCTATTAGTGATGTTTCTGATATTTGTGTTCTTTTATTTTTAAATTATAAGAAGAGTGCACTGTCTCGCCTACTATACTGACCATTGATTTTATATTGATAGTCCTAAATATAAAGTTTTACTACAAGTATCACATTAACATTTATGATCCAAGAAAATGAGGTCAAGTTCAGATAAACCAAACTGGAAATACATATACACCTTCAATAGAATCATTCTATAGACTGAAAAAAGATGACCTATTGCTTATAGAATAAAATAAACAGACCAAACCATGGAAATTATATACTGACCATTGAACCATGAAAATTAGGTCAAGGTCAGATGAAACCTGCCAGACAGACATGTACACCTTAATATCATTCCATGCATCAAATATAGTTGACCTATTGCTTATAGTATCTAAGAAACAAAGTTAATAATTTGACCACGAAAACTTAACCTTGTTCACTGATCCATGAAATGAGGTAGAGGTCAAGTGAAAACTGTCTGACAGGCACAAGGACCTTGCAAGGTACCCACATACCAAATATAATTATTCTATTACTCATAATAAGAGAGAAATTAACATTACAAAAAATCTGAACTTTTTTTTCTAGTAGTCACTGAACCATGAAAATGAGGTCAATGACAATGGACATATGACAGATGGAAACTTCATATCATAAGGCATCTATATACAACGTATGAAGCATTCAGGTCTTTACCTTCTGAAATATTAAGCTTTTAAGAAGTTAATTAAAAACGCCGTTGCCGCTGCCACATCACTAACCCTATGGCTTGACAAAAACTAGATGTGAAATATATACCCCACCATATTACATCAATATCAGGATAGTTGTCATCCCTGTTGTGTGTTTGTGTGTGAATGTGCATGCACATTTGTTGCTCCATTAAATGCACTTCTTATGTGCCCTCGAAGAAGTGATAATCTGCTTGAAAGTTTTCCACATATTTGTGAAATGATGACATGGCCAACAGTCATGTTTGCATTATGTGAAGTGACAACTTGGGACTTATTAATTGATCTTCCATAAGTCTAGTATTTATAAAAACATGAAATATATTTTGACATATTTTATTAAAATTGATCAACAGTACGAGAACATGTGTAGTTTTATATTGCTAATACTTCATTACTACAACTGCATAAACAAAATAAACACAACCTTGTTTTCTCAAATGTAAAGTGAATTAATTGGTACAGTATGTTCTACTTAAAGTTTGTGAAAATATGTTTTGATTTTAATCCTTTGACAAAACACTGATCTCTAACAGGAAGTTGTCATGTTTGGCCTATATAATTACTTAAAATTTTAAAATACAATATGAAATACATTGTGAGAATCTTAGAGATTTGCATTTCCAGTGGTTATTTTTTTTCCTTGATTTCTTTTTTCATGTTTAGAACATAAATACATTTCCTTTAAGAATATGACTAAGAACATAAGCTAAAATAAATCAATCATGTGTAAAAAAAAATATTTAATATTTCAAGTTGACCTTTAATAAACTTTTCCCAAATTCAGTATAACTATTTTTTTATATAAAAAAAAAATGTTATTTTTTTTAATTTGCCATTTGCACAAGAAATTTTCTTCATAGAAAGTTCAACATTACAAACATCTATGCCATTTTTAAAAATATTTTCCATTCCGTGCAGTCATAAGCACTAACTTCATAATCAGCACTGCTATATAAAGTTACAAACCAAAATCGTGTATTTTCTATGTTTGAATCATTTTGAAAATAGCTAGATTATGAACTTTAAAAATTATGTATTTTAATTACTGTGAATTTTTAGGCTTTAGCCATATATTCATCTGGAATGTGTGAATTCACCTTCACAAAAATGAAACAAATATCATTACAATGAGCAAATTGTTACCCTGGATTTCGAAGGAACACTGTCGACATAGTTATTAATAACCACTAAACTCATTCCAAATCTCGTTTTTACTTTAAGTACTACTAAACAGTAAACTTATCAAGACAAATCATTTGCCATTATATAATATTCTCATTGATTTCAATATCAATGGAACCGCCTGATCCTTTAAAGCACCAAAGTTTTTCAAAACAGCTTCATTTAAAATTTGCATATTTTGGAATTGCCAAAATACTCACTTGAGTTTTTAGAAAGGAAACTACTAAGTATTCACATAGGATAATACTCAACTAAGTATTCACATAGGATAATACTCAACTAAGTATTCACATAGGATAATACTCAACTAAGTATTCACAAAAGAAAATACTTGAGTATTTACAAAGGAAAATACTAAAGTAATCACATTGGAAAATACTCATTTGAGTAGAAAATACTCATTTGAGTATTCACAAGGGAAACTAAAATTGTGTAAAGTAAAATCAAGTAAAACAACCTTAATGAAAATCAATACATACATATAAAAATGTTCTTCCTTCATGATAAAATAAAAATGTCAATAGATAAAATGACTTGATGCAAGTAAAAAAAAAATCTTTTGTTTTAAGTTTCTCATCAATATAATTGGTATCAAAATTTTAATTTGTGATTTGCGTATTTCTGATATATATTTATATATATATACAGCACTAGTTATATACAATGTACACTTTGTACAATATTTACAAAATGGGAATGATTAATGAAAATTAAAAAAAAATCATTTGTTTTTTTCGTGCTGGTAGCATTTGTACTCACTAAACAAATACAAAAATATAAAATAGAGAAATTGAGAAATTGAAAAAGAAATTGTAGGGGAAAGGAAAAAAAAATGTTAAAAAATTTTTTTTGTTTAAATTACTATGGCAAAAAAGTTTGTTTTACTAACTAAAATGAGTACAGAAGCATGTTAAGAAAACTTATTCATCTTTCATAATTCTTCATAGACTGCAGTTTTTAAGACCACTATATTACAGCAATATTTAAATTAAACAGTTTGTGCCAACAGTTACTCAAATCTAATATGCATTATGAAGCAAAGTTGAAGCTTGCATAGAATGTGTCAAATGGAAGGCAATATTCAAGTCATCCAATTTTCATCTGCGGAAGAATTAACCAGTTTAACTATCTGAACTCAAAGTTTTGAAGAACTTAATACACTGAAAATATCTAATCTGTGCAATGGTCAACAAAGAAAATATCCTTGAAACTACTTTTTTAACTAGAATGACACAAATCTTCCTTTTATTTTCAAATATGAATATTAAGTAATTTTTACAATACAATTTTTTATTGGTTAAGAAAATAAAATATCTAATTGGAAATCTATTCTCAAAGTTTTGGTAAGGGAGATAATTCATTTCAATAATACTGATAATTTCAATTACTACCTCTTTTTTATTTTTTTTGAAACTTGGATTAATATTTGAATTGATCTTGATTTTTATGATTGTATCAAATATAAAATGATAAAAATTTCGCAATTCAGATTTGACTTCATAGAATTTCATAACAACTGTTTTGGTCAATGCAACATATATAAAACAATGTTATTACTGATTAAGTGAAGCATCATAATCTCAAATATACTTTGAGTAAATGAACATAGAAATGTGTGTATTACAGTTCATGTCAAAGAAATCTACATAGTTTCATCTAGAAGAAAAAGTTCAACCCTAGATGTGCGGAAAAGAGAATACAACCTTAATATATCTCAGTATTAATACGTCAGGATGAGAGATGATGCTTAAAATTTTACTACAAATTATAAAGTGAAAACAACCTTTAAAAATAAAGGAATGCAGAAAACTGCCAAAAAAATAGCACCTAAATTTGTAGACACATTACAAAAAATATTAAAATATCTACAAGCAGTTAAGTTATATGTACTACTAACATTTGTAAAATATTTTACTGATATGTATTCAATCTTTTAAGTTTTTGTCATATGATGTTAAACCATCACTATTAGCATTCAATGCCATTTAAAAACCATTGCCAATGTTTAAAAATTCAGTGAAAGAATAACACTAATGAGGGGATATCACTGATTACCGTAAAACATTTTTTTCATACTTTTTTAAATTTTAGTCTTTAAAAACTGATAGAACTTCAATACCTTGGTTTTAACATATAGAGCAATTAAAAATACAATAAACTTGCATGCTCTGCAAACTTTACATTAAGAAAAGAGGAAAGTATATAAAATGTGAGAGAAAAAAATACATAAAAGCCATTTTCCACCAATAAAGAAAGATTTAAAATAAAAATATTTAAAAGCAAATATCACAAATAAATATTCTTTCTATGTACATTGTCAGGACCTATACATATATAATGTGACCTTGGTGCTCTACTTGAACATATTCCCTCGGTTAGAAGGGAAATGTCTGTAAAATACTGACAAACAGTCACACATGTATCCAGTTTGACTGGCTGAAATATGAGTTATCACATGATTCGTTTAACGATTCATTATTTATACATTAGTGATGTGCTACAATTACTATGGAAACAATATTATTTCTCAAAGTTTCAAGTTCCTGTTGTTCCACGGACTAGTGAATGTCAAAACAACAAATTATCACCACTCTAAATGAAAATGGCCATATCTTATATAAAATTCATTGATAAAGGAATCCATTTTGATCACATTTCCTCATTTCCTTGAAGGACAATGACCACTTTTCATCTTTCATTTTGTTGATTAACGACAAAATTTCTGTCAAGTCCATTTCTTGAATCAGTCGTTTCCATCAATTTGCAACAGCATTTTATTTGATGGGTATACTCTACGCCTCTCTGAGAGGCATTCAACATTTACAATGCAGGACCACTTAGCACATACAATGGATGATCATACATTTATAACATATCACATTTAGAAAGAAAACATTTGACTACAACATTCGATCACTGCTATACTAGGAATCCCTCGGACACTTGAAAGTGAGGTCCATACAACTGTGTACGTAATGTCTGTATAGAATTCATTATTTTCTTTTGATGTCCTATTAAAGTCACACCTAATGTTTCCAAGTCTCTTGAAGTTATGGTTGATACTTGTTCCATTGTCCGATATCCTGCATTTAGGAAATTTTGTATATATCTGTCCATTTTGATAGAGATTAGCCATCCTTCCACATTATTGAATCGTGAAACTTCGTTCACTGGGTTTAAGTCCATTAGTAAGTCAGCTCTGAAATAAAAATAACATGTACAGTTTTAATTGCACAACAGAGAAATTCTAAAATGATTTTGTACAGTAAAAAATAAACACAACTTTTGTGTATTGTCCAATGTCAAGGTACTTTCAGCAAATATCATTTCTATTTTACATCTAATCACATAAGTTGGATATATCAATAAATTTTCAGGAATTCCAATTTACAATGTTTTATTTCTTTTTTAAATGCTAACATACCTTGGTTTTGCTATTTTCTTCAACAGCTCTGGTGCTCTAATGAATTTATCATGTGACCTAACAACTTGTGTCATCTTTGGTCGGTTTCCACGCTCTTTTTGCCAACAGTCTAACATAAGTTGGTGAATAGCCTCTGGACAATCCTGAAAGGAAAATATTCCTAATGGATTATCTCCCTTACATCAGTTGGGATACAGTTAAGTTGTTCTAAAAACCCTTCTACAAGCTATTTGTCTTGTATCAGAAAAGATTTTAAAATATTTGTACTAGTCTATGCACTTGAAAGCAACAACGTCCATTTAAGATAAATAAAAATGTGAATGTTTATGAGATGTCATATGTTATCATTTAGCAATACAAAAGTTTTTCTTTCAAATTTTAACTTTCATTGAACGAAAAAAAAAGAATTCCAGATTTATTTAAAGACTCTTCCAAGTGTCAATACGTGCATTATTTTAAACATTTTTTTTTATTAGAATCAGCTATATTGAAAACAGTCCTCAGCTAGGATGTCTCTAAGGGAGTTTATTTGGGGTCATGACACTATAACTTCAATAGTCAAGCTTCGATCTAAATCTCATCTTTAATAGTCTATAATAGAAATTTTGGATTTTAAGGGAGTTAATCTGAACCTCCTTGATACAAGTATTAAATATTGGTGTATATATGACATACCATTGGTGGTGGAAGCCTAAATCCTCTCTCTACAGCTTGTATCACATATTGGTTAGACCAGTTCCAGTAAGGTCTCTCTCCATATGATATTATTTCCCACATGACAACTCCATAACTCCAGACATCAGATGCCGAGGTAAACTTTCTGAAAGCTATAGCCTCAGGAGCTGTCCATCGCACTGGAATTTTGCCTCCCTAAAGAATAAATGTTTAGATTGTATTTTTCATTATCTTTTCCTAGTCAACTACAGTCTTGCAATATATTGGCTGAATAGTTTTAGCAAAATAATTTCAAGAGTCAACATTTCAATTTCCTTCCTTTGAAGATGAAGTTTTATTGACCATATTACTAAAGTTTGTCAATTATCATTTCAGCTAACCAATAACTAGATTTTTTGTTTTTAAATTCCTGAACATGAAAAAAAGAAATCCTTTTTATATGATAATATGTGAGAAACCTAATGACAAAACAAAATCAAAAGACATAACCTTTCTAGACTCTTTCTAAAAGAAGAAAAAAATGGTTAAAAAACAACAAACAGTATTGTGTGTTAACACGTTTTTTGATTGAGTTAAGCCTTCCAATTGATATTTTATAGTGTGTTTTTCTATGTTGTGATGTTATACTATTGTTTCAGAAAAGGGAGAAGGTTTGGTACCATTAAAACGTTTGATCCCGCTGCAAATGTTTGCACCTGTCCTAAGTCAGGAATCTGATTACAGTAGTTGTCGTCTGTTTATGTAGTTCATACGTATTTCTCATTTCTCGTTTTTATATAGATTAGACCGTTGGTTTTTCCGTTTGAATGGTTTTACACTAGTAATTTTTTTGGGGCCCTTTATAGCTTGCTGTTCGGTGTGAGCCAATGCTCCGTGTTGAAGGCCGTTCCGTGACCTATAATGGTTTACTTTTATAAATTGTAACTTGGATGGAGAGTTGTCTCATTGGCACTCATACCACATCTTCTTATATCTAAATCATAACTCAACTTACAGTACAGATATTTGGAGTTGGAAAGGGTTTACAGAATAGAAAATAATAGGCAAAAAAATATAAAAGAAATAAGAAACAGGTAAAAAAATAAATAACAGAGAATAATGGGTTGCTTACATATAAAAAGAGAATAATGGAAACAAAAAATTTAAGAAAAGAAAAAAAATGGCTAGAAATTAAAAGAATACATAATTCTGAAATGAAGACAACCTCACACACCCTGACCATCAAGACCCTCTAATATACTTACTTTAGTGGTATAAGCACCATCTGTAGTGTCTAAATCTATCTCCCTTGAAAGACCAAAATCTGCTACTTTACACACCAAATTTTCACCAATCAAAATATTTCTTGCTGCTAAATCCTGTAATAGAAATATCATACTATTATGGGTCATATCACTTTTTTTCTTTATTATATTTAATGTTGAAAATAGCTACTTTATAAGAGATTGTACATTTTGTCAATAAACAAGTAACTAGTTTGTATAGATCTGTCAAAAACATCACAGCATTACTAAAATAGTGACTTTGTTTAGTTTTCAACTTTAATATAGAGGTGTTAAAGTTCCATATCCTATTCATCTTGATATACAATTGTATAGCCTATTTCTGTGAAGTATGACTTACCCTATGTACATATCCCATCTCTGACAAATAGCTCATTCCAGATGCTATCCCTCTCATCATTCCAACTAACTGTATTACTGTAAATTTACCATCATTATTCTGAAAAAAAGAAAAAAGAAATATCTGAAATTTGAACTACAGGTAACATTAAAAATTAATTGTCATTTATATAAGATAATTTCAGTTGTTAACATACTTGTCTCATAAATACTGATTATATCCTTCATATTTTAAAACTGTATAAAATCTATTAAAATAAAATAAACTAGGTACCAGGGTGAACACATTCAGCAACAATGTCTCTTTATGGAAATTGTCATTTTTAAGGCCTTGATGAGAAATTATTAAATAGTTTTATTAGTCATAAAGTTATTACAGCATGACACATTCTAATCAACAGTAATATTATTCTTATACAAATAATTGATGTTGCAATATTCAACAAAAGCAAAGGTAACAGGTTCTTTTTCAACTACCAATATTTTCAGTTTTGAATTGATAGTAGTAAAACACATACTGTCACAATTCTGATACAATGTAAAATATGATACAATCCTAAGACAATGTAACACTATACGACACAATCCTAAGACAATGTCACATGTTATGACACACTCCTAAGACAATATCACATTATCATACTATGACATAGTATGACACAATCCAAAGACAATGTCACATGATATGACACAATCCTAAGACAATGTCACATGTTATGACACAATCCTAAGACCATATCACATGTTATGACACAATCCTAAGACCATATCACATGTTATGACTCAATGCTAAGACAAATGTCTCATGATATGACACAATCCTAAGATAATGTCACATGTTATGACACACTCCTAAGACAATATCACATAGTATGATGTAATCCTAAGACAATGTCACATGATATGACACAATCCTAAGACAATGTCACATGTTATGACACAATCCTAAGACCATATCACATGTTATGACTCAATGCTAAGACAAATGTCTCATGATATGACACAATCAAGAAAATGTCACATGTAATGACACACTCCTAAGACAATATCACATGGTTTGACACAATTCTAAGACAATGTCACATGTTATGAAACAATCCTAAGACAATGTCACATGATATGACACAATCCTAAGACAATGACACATGATATGACACAATCCTAAGATAAAGTTACATGCTAAGACAATATAATACAACATGACACTTTCAAGAAACAAGTCACACAATTCAACCCAATTGTTAAACAATGTCACATCATATGACAATCATAAAACAATGTTACATTATATGACACATTTCTGGAACAATGTCACATGAAGAAGCCATAATCCTAACACAATACCTCTTGATAATGTTTATGTATCTTAGGTCTAAACAAAACCCATCCAAGCAGATTATCTGGCCTTATGTAAAGAAGAAATAATAGGAAGATGGATTAGTGATCAATTACGTTATATTTTCTCCATCATAAATCACATGTTCATCTTATCCTAGTATGAACATTAGGATTAATGAAGAGTTGTGTAATAGCAGCTTCATATGATAACTAATGTATTACGTCCAAATCATTCTACTCAACACTAATCAAAATGGAGCATTTTATCCCCCATAATCACCAAGAATAGGGTTCTTTTTAATGGGAACGCCTGGCGAAATAATATAAAGTTTCCGAAAACTCATTTAGAATTTGATTTGTCCATTTATTTAATGGTAATTTCTTCCTCCATGACAATTGTTCCCCCATGGATGAGACGACACAATAAAAAATTTAAAAGCTGTAGGATTTCAATTCATCATTTAAAATTAATCACTTTTAACCATGATCTTGTCACCGAACGTTTGTCTCACCAATTACGCCACATTTAGTTTCGATAAATAGAAATTTTGTTCATCAATTATATTTTCTTTTTGTCTTCAGCTTGAATAATGTTTTCTTTCTCACATAGCAAAAATACACCTTTTTCCAAAAGTACTTTATAGTACAGTCAATATCTGCAATAACACTGCATTATGAATGTTTTTCTTTACTTAAACAGTTTGCTGTACTAAATTTTCATTATCATTTGGTCAATATTTTTGACGATCTTGTACTTTCCATTAATAGTAATTGGCTAGACTATTTAAAATTATGACAGAAATGTAATCAGCTGATCAGTTCTACACAAAATAAAATGCTTCGCTGAGCGCAGCCTGATACAATCGCAGAGGTCGAACTCTGAACAGTTGGTACAAATTTGGACACAATATTCAAGCTTGATACTGTCTGAATTTGGATTGTGATCAAATTTTTGACATAATATTGATTTCTGACACAAAATAAATGTGGTCAAAGATCTTACAAATCTATTGCGCAATACTGTGCAATTGAAGATTTCTTCTTGAAACTTTTCAAAAATTCAAAATTTGAAAAAAAATATGAATCCTCTAAAAAAATCCCCCCCCCCAACTTTTTGAAACCCCCCCTTTGAGCAATAACCCCAAAACTCGATCCCAGCCTTTCCTTTGTAGTATGAAACCTTGAAGTACAATTTCAGAGAGATCCATACACTTACACACAAGTTATTGTCTGGAAACTAGAAAAATGCTTGTTTTTGGTCCCTTTTTGGCCCTTAATTCCTAAACTATTGGCCCCATAACCCCTAAAATGAATCCCAACCTTCTACTTGTGGTATTAAACATTGTTGTACAATTTCAGAGCAAGCGAAATACTTATACACAAGTTATTATCCTGAAACTAGAAAAATGCTTCTTTTGGGCCCCTTTTGGGCCCCTAATTCCTAAACAGTTGGGACCATCATCCCCAAAATCAATCCCAACCTTCCTTTTGTGGTATCGAACCTTCTTAAAAAAATTCATAGAGATCCATTCACTTAAACTAAAGTTATTGTCCGGAAACCAATGTGTCTTCGGACAACGACACAGACGACGACGACAATGTCATACCATTATACGATCCCAAAAAATTTTTTGCGGTCGCATAAAAAGTTACATTCTATACTTCAAATAAAAGACTCAAAATAAAAGACTTATCTATGAAATCAGCCCATAAGACAATGTTGGCCTATTTCTACACATTGATAATCAATATTAATAATTAAATTTAATCAAGAATGGAAAACATTCATTATGATCAACTCCACTTTTATTCCTATTTTTATTTATTAATTTGTGTCCGCAGAAACATAAAACTGCCAAAATATGACAAATTATTGGCTGGAGCTAACAAAGGTTAATAATTAATTAAAAATCAGGCAAAATAAATGTTCTTAGTCATCAAGAAAAATGAGATTTTGAGAACATTAAATAATTGAGCGTAAGATCTGTAAGGGATAAGGGGGAAAGGGTCTAATTTAGAGCTTAATTAGTCCAATCTCAAATGTCAAGATGCCTCAAAGAAATGATAATCCTCAACATTTTATGCAGGGTCAGTGAAATCAATTTCTAATTTTGATTTAAATTGATCAATATCTTCAAACTAAAATATTTATTGCCTGTAATTTTTCATGTACTCTGACAAAATGCATTGCTTAATGAGTGTGAATATTTTAATGACCTTTTCTACTACAGAACTGGCCTATGATTTTTAGAATGAGTTACAGTTACTAAAGATAATTCAGGATTTTTCAAAAAAAAAATTCTTACATAAAAAAAAAATGTAAACTGTCAAAAGAAGAATGTTTTTATCTGAATTACAAATTTAATCAATCACTCTTGGGGAAAATACATTTATAAATCACTTGCAACATCTGTAATGCAAACAATAATGTTGTCATTTAAAAATTAAAATGGGCCCTGCTGAAAGAAAAACATATTTTTCCAGACACCATTGCCTATAGCAACTGACATTAATGTAAAATGTAACAATATTGACTTGCCTAATAGGTCAATATCTCTAATGTGTCTCAAAGTGAAGAACACAATTAAAACAAGTAAACAAAAAATTCAAATTGATCCAAATGGTCTAGGAACCATGGGTACATTCTTCATGTTCTTCAATGCAATATTTGACCTCATTATGTCTGTCTGGTAAATTTGTAAGAGCTCTGCTCGAGGGATTATATTGGTTGAGGGTTGATACAGTGTGTGATATTGAAAAAGCCATATCATATACACTTAGTAGATGTTTTTCATGTGACATGACGTAAAGATAGATTATCGTCGGTTATCTCAACGAGATTTGATTTTCTCGCTTGAGCCGGTACGGCGAAAGTGAGAAAAGCAATAGAGTTGAGATGACCAATGATAATCTGTTTATCGCTATTTTACCTATGAAGACATTGTTAATTTCTTTGACAACGGCATGTGTTCCCTTAGTTTCTAGCGATAATTTTCATATCACTCGACTCCGTTTTCATATCACTCAACTCCGCTGAGAACAGAAATTATCAGTCAGCAAGATCAAAGGAAAAATTCGTAAAATAGCGATAATACAAATTAGGGGTTTGATAAAACCTTTGAAACAGTGACTGATATTGATATTACATGACGTCATACAGATTAAAGGTGTGATAAAGCCTTTGCAAGGGTGACTGATATCAATATCATCATGGATGGCTGATACAGCACGATTGCTGTTGACTGTATTACACATACAATTTATCTGTTTTTACTACTAAGTATATAATAAATGCAAATAATTAAACTGGATGAGTATAGCAATAATAATTAAAACAATAATTAAGAACTCGCATACATAAATCTGATATATACATCTTATATATATTTTCCTGAAATCGCAATAATTAATCTCTCATTTTTGTCAAATTTTTCAAAAATCACAATAATAAATGCATGAAATAATTTCAGAAATTACAGTATAATGAATATCCACTCTCAATCCAAAGTTTAGTCATAAGTACATGTACTTACTCGTAAAAATGTATCTAGAGATCCATTTAACATATATTCTGTTACTATCATTATGGGATGGTCTGCAAAAACAAAATCTAAAATTCAGAATGAGTATGATGTTCACATTTCATAAACCAGATAAATTTACAATAATTCAAATGTTATAATTCTGAAAAACTGTATGTATAAAAAATTGAAGAGATAAGGATAGATTTTAAACATTTTATTTTCATTAATTGCCATCAACCCAATCCGCCTTTTCAAAATCTACAGGACTATGGGTAATCTCATTGTTTGTACACCAAAATGAAAATTACGTTACATCATTGGTTCAATTTCCAACGGTAAATTGGGGTTGATTGTGCAATTTCAAATAATTTAATATTATTAAATGAATAGATTGATTGTTGCTTGCTCAACATTAAATGCTAGTGATCACTGAGATGAACTAACTAGATTACTCCCCCACTGACTATTAGTTAATGCTTACTCTTTGTGACAACTCCTTCTAAGTAGATAACATTAGGATCATCAAACTGTCCCATGATGCTTGCTTCAGTAAGGAACTCCATTCTGTCTTTGTCAGTGGCTCCTTGTTTTAAAGTTTTGATGGCAACAGACATTTCCATTCTACGGGGAATTCTTAGCTTTCCTTTACATACATCTCCAAATTCTCCTGAAAGATAAAGTAATGTTTAGGAAATGTTTTATATCAAAATGTCATTATTACCACAAGAATTTTGAGGTTGCACATTTTTATTCAGTTTGCACATGCTTTTTTATATTATAAACATTTATATTTGTTTACCCTCATTGTGAACATTGGAACAAGATGAAACAAGAATATGTGACTATAGTACCTCCTCACACTATCCATGTTCAGCGAACTGTGAAATCTGGGTCAAAGGTTCATGTATGTAACAACCTGAAGGTAAACAACTTTAAACCAGAACTTTAATCTGATACAGCACAGACTGGAAAACAAAATGCTCCTCTAAAATATTAGGGAGAGCATAAAAACTCTAGAAGAACTAGACAAAAAAGTGAGTAATATATGTTTATACCTCCACCAATAACTGACTCTATTACAATATGGGAACTATCTATTTCCTTGGTGAATTCTCGTACAGCTTGGTTTGGATCCTCGTATGTATGGGGGTCTACATAGGTCTTTACTGATCCTGGTGGTGTGAACAATGGCATTGTCACTAAAAAGTATAAATAGCATGTTAGTATTGTTGTGTCATTTTCAAAGTTAAGGTATCAAATTGTCAATCAGTAAATGATTCTGAAAAGTATTAGTTTTTGCATCTCCATCTCATAATTAACAGCACTTCTAATTTTCAGACATATGTTGCTTTTGTAAGATTTGATTTTGTGACTGAAGTCAAACATTTAAAAGATTAGGATGTCATTCAGGCAATGGTTTTATTTTTTTAGGTTAATCACAAAATATTTAAACTAGCATTTACTATAATCTTCATATTTTAACCTTAATTTTGAATTTCTGTTAACTATGATATATTGCAAAAGCTAATACGTTTTTCAGTCTATGAAATATTGAAACATACAAGTAAAATCTAATTCCAGAAAAACTGAATACATGAAGCAATGGCTAAAATAGCTATATTTTTTATATACATTTTTTTAATAATAGTGGTAAAAAATATTAGCGGATATTGGACTTTAAATATGAAGACTTGAATTTCCTATTTTGGTTAATTATTTTTACGAAGATTTTTTACATCATAAAATTTGGTACAAAAAATGAGTTGTCCTTTAAAAACCAATACCATGTATACAGTATAATGACTACAGTCAACTTCATGTGGTCCATGTGATGTAAACATCAATGAAACAGCAATCCAATGACACAAACAATTCAAAGAACATCCAGAGGATGACAAATCGTCTTAAAAAACAAAAGTGTCTAAACAAAATGTCAAGCTCTAAAATAACCTTGTATAGATAGTTATGATTAAATTTTCAGATAATATCCCCACCAAATCCCTAAAGGATAAAATACAATGTTTAAACTGTTCTCTGTTTCCTGTACACACCAATTTTAATCGTTTTTACTCTACTTTTTTCCCTATTCTTACAACTTTTAATAAAATTTCCAAATGTCTACATGTCATGTGTACTGGTCAAGGATGTCCTTTCAGAGATTTTGTATACCGGTATACTATAAAGAGTAATTTTGTGTTGCTATGCAACATATTCAACAAGAAGGCATGTTCAAAAGAGGACACTCTTTTATACAATAATGAAGTAAACTGAACAGTACCAATGTGGACAGGTATTTTGTTTTTGTTTTGTTTGTTATGTTTTATTTTGTAATAAAACAATGTTATAAGTTCCATTGCTTCATGTAAATCTTACATTTCATGGATAAAGTGATATAATCTTGTTTTAACCCTTAATCATAAAACTACTAATAGATTATACAACGAATGCTACATATATGAATGATGCATTTTTCATCTCAGTTTGAACCTTTTTTACTCTTAACATGAAAGTTTTTCTTGAACACTGCACATCAAGCTCCGTAACTAACAGAAAGTGCTCAGTATTACCATCAAATGAATTTTTATTACAAAATTCCTTATTCAACCATGATTATTTCCACTACAAAGCCATATTATAAGTCAGGCAGCAGTTGTGATTAATGGTTATTTTATAGCTTTGCTTGGTGATTTCTAAATAATTCCACTTTTTTCTATTACCATAATGCTTTTTTTCACATTGTGTTTTAGCATTGGTATTTGACTTAATATCAAGATTTTTCAATCCAAATCAATACTCGTCAAGTTTTGTCTTTTGTTTTCAATGTTTTTGATTACTGTGACTTCAAAGAGAAGGAGAAATGTAAATAGCTCAACAGTGAAAATATATTACATGCAAAATAAATGGCGTAATGAAGTGAAAGAAAGATTAATACAATTCATCCTCCATATTAAACTTTAAACCTGGGGAAAATGGGATTTGATAGCTATAAAAAGTCATTCCATTGCAAATAAAATCATTTTTATGTCGTTAAATTTTGATTCCTCAAGCCATGTATAGAATTCCTAATCGTGATTTTACCATATTTTAGAAATGAATCGTCATTAACTAGTAATCTGACCTACAATAAAACAGAGGGATACAAACTAATTTAGTGGTAGAATAGAGAATTGTCAAATTGGTATTCCCCAGGACTTACATTTCCTAATAGAAATTTAATTTTTAAAATCCTTCTGATCTTTAACACATTAAATAAAGACTGATGACACTATTGCATGTGTCAAATAAACTAATGAAAATTTTTTTTAATAACCAAGCGTTTAAATAAAACATTAGTCATGTTAATATAAATTAATTTGATTTTGAGATATGAATATAATACACAAAATTTTAAAAAAATTAAAGTTTTATCCTATATACTGTTCAGAGCAGAATCAATAACCAGTTTTGTTCAAAAGATTTTATACTGTATTATGACAGGTGTAAATAGCTTGAACAAGCAAGATTTTTTTCTAACATGAACATGATTCAGAGTTTGAAAAGATCCAAATTTTACAAATTTGTGTTATTTTCCTACTTGCGAAAGTCACAAAAAAATTATTTGCTGCAAAATTTAGTTGGTTTATAATATTTGAAAAGAAACTTTAGTTGTCCTCTAAAGAAACAAACACATGGTTTAAATTCAAATCATTCAAGAATATCAAAGGGCATGACAATAACTACTTGTTTGTTTTTAATTTTTATCTTTTCTATTTGAAATAGGTCTTAGGCCAGGGGCTGAATCTACAATTTACCACACAAGAGACAAGCAACCTAAGCAAAATTATCATGATGTCTTTCTCAACCACAACCCTCAACTTATATACACCTTATCGCTATTTGTCCGCCATTACTGGATATCACACAGGTTCCCGTAAAATTTTGACGTCATAAAACAAAATATCTGACGCCACAATGGAAAAGTGATTGTTGTTGACGTCAAAAGTTCAAGCGGCCGGGTCAGCCGGGAATAGCGATAAGGTGTATTAATCTATAGCAACACTACCAAGAGATGGAAAGGTTTGATGTAATTTAAGTGGACAAACTCCAAAATTGTCAATATGAATTTTCACCTGAAGAAAAAATATCTGACAAACAATATAAAATAGAGGTCACAATCACAGAAATTCCTACTAAATCAGATTCTACAACATAATACTGTGTAACATCATGATCATAAGAGGTTTATAGTAAGTATGATTTATCACTTGGCCTCTTTTACTGCTTTTATTTGTCTTTTTAATCTTTTTATCGTGGGAAGGGTTTTGGGGAAATACTTTCTTTACTATTTTTAACACTACAGGCATTTCATAATCCAATTTAAATTTACAGTAGCATATCAAAGCAAAGCACTTGTATCTGTAAAACAAGCCAAAAGACTATGACCTCCAAGTATCTTCTTTAGCAATGAAAATCTACAATTTTTGAGAAATGGAACTTGATGTACAGTAGCAAATTCAAGTTTAGATTTTAGTCCCTTTGTTTATTTCAAATGGAACAGTTTTTTCTCACTTCAATTGTGTATCCATAGACAGAATAATTTATCAAACTGAAACTGATATGTGAAGCAATAGAAACAGCACTACATCAGCTCAAATTCTTCAAAGTTCTAATAATTTTGAGCATGTGACTATTTTACTACCATGAGATAAAACTTCCTGCTTTCCATGGTGTTAACATAAACAAACTTTTTTTTATAAATATAAACTTTCAAAACTAAAACCATCCATGTGTTAACAAAATTTCTTTACCAGAGTTCATTAGCATTTTAACTGATACAGTTTTGGTTTTAAAAAAATTGATAGCTGTTGAAATTAAGTTTGTTTAATAATGATAACTTTATCTTAGATTTACCCAAGTTTCACAACTGACATTCATAACTGCTGATAATTTACAACCTATCAAAATAGTTGACAAGACTTATAGATTACACATGAATAATTTTTGTTATAAGAACTTTGACAAATTTGAGCATACATACATATATAGTTAAGCAGCTATTGTCACTCAAACCTTGCATATGTATTTGTCAAACAAATCTATTGTGCAAATAAAGACTTTTAAGACTATATAATGCAATAACACCAAACTGATTGAAATGCAAATACTGTGTCCACGCTGCGTTTTTCAGATTCTGACAATGTTCCATTCTACTTCTTGTTCTTATCTTTATTTTGTCTATAAATGAAGGTTATGTCATTAAGACAAAACCTGAGGATCCAAAAATGGTTTTCAAATACTGTTGATTAATTATTATTCGTTGGATACCAATTTTTGTGGGTTTCGAGATACAGGTGAACCACTAATTCTAATGATCAACAAATTACAAATTTTCTATAGGCTTTATATGCAGATATTGGCAAAACCATGAATTCAAATATCCACGAAAATGCAAGTTTTTCTCAATCCACGAAAATTGATACCCACGAAAATAAATGAATCCACAGTAAGGAATTTATTTAGAATGGTGTCAGATCCTTGTAAGCTCCCCGTGGACACAGATCTGTATTTTAATCAGATTGCAATCACATCGGTGCAAGTTTGGGAACTGTATTTCTTGTCTCTATGAAGAACACTTCAGAAAATGCCTACATGAATAAACGAGGATAGAATTGGAGATTTACAACAAAGAGAGAAAACAGGACCTCTACATACACTAACATTACACACGACAGATTGTCTAAATATAGAATATTAGTAGTGTGATATATCATTGATTAACATGTGACATTAGTAGCCTATGATCTACCATACAGAATTACTTACAACCACCATTCATGTGGGGCTCCAGTGGGGGGCAGTGAACAACTACAAAACAGAACCAGCAGTCGTGTTACTTGTGTTAAAGTGATCGCAAGCAAACATTTACTCATGAATTAATGCCTTTAATACCAATGGTATTTTGTTTCAGCACCTTTTTATACATTTAAATGTTAATTTCAGATAATAAGTATAGGAATTTCTGCCACCTATTAAGTTGAGATAATTAATGCATGAATTTCTGCCACCTAATAATTTCAGATAATGAATGTCTGAATTACTGTGACCTAAGAATTTCAGATAATGAATGTCTGAATTACTGTGACCTAAGAATTTGAGATAATGAATGTCTGAATTTCTCCCACCTAATAATTTCAGATAATGAATGTACCAGTATAAATTTCTGTGACCTAATAAGCTCTAACTTAAAACCATCATCCATACTGAGAAGTGGCCTTAATTCGCCCTTGTTTAACTGAAACTCTACACAGTGCATTAAATATTTATGTACTCAACAGAGAATTGCCAACATTATATAATTCACATCATTTATCATATTTGAGCATTGAAATCAGAGAACCCCAGAAAACAAAGACTATTTCTTACAACCACCCATACACCAATAAACATGCTTCAAATTCAACCTAAAATTCACATTTTTAAACAGCATTCTGGCATTCAAGGCAAATTGCAATGAAATGAAAGGAGAGGAGGAGAGGGAACAATTAGCAGGTTTGTATGTTACAAAATGCAAAATATGTTTACATAAGCAAAAAGTTCTAAACGTAACAAGCAGCCATAAGCCAAACAAAAGCAAAATAATAACATTTCAGCACAGAATGATTTGTATTCTTATAAAATCAATACATTGTTACCACAATACTAATAGATATGAAATGAATATACTTTTATCAATTTCATGCTATATAAATCATCATCAGTAATGACAAAAATAAATGAACATAAAATATCTAGTCATTTTTTGTGATGGAGCATTTCCGATACTTTTTTTCGATTATTTATATATAAAAAAAAAATACCAAAGAAAAATGCATCATTCATAAAAATCCCTTCCCATTACATGCTTTATAGTCGATATGTAAACTGTTAATTTATTTATGTATTGTTTGTTAATTAATGACATCATGAGAAATTAACATGATTTAATAACAATAAGGTTTTTGAAATAAATATAAAATTTCAAGGTATGAGCAACCAATAAAATATACAACAAACAAGGGATTGATGATATGTGTATTCAAGTTAAGTTTTCATGGTATATGTAATAAATATGTTATATTACACATGTATTTTACTGTAATATAGCTATGGTATGAATATAAAAGTACTGAAAAGTGAAACTTCTTTTGATATGACAACTTTCAAATGTCAAATGGATTGGCTTCAGGTTAGAAAATGATTCTTTTCTTAGCCAAGTATTCTTTTTAAAACTCTTTAACCTAACAATTACAATAATCTGATTTATGATAAGGTTTTTATTATCATAATATGAGGTTTTGATAAATAAGTTTCACTTTCTCAATGTCTTTTATTATATCAGTCATATTGTATGTGTATGATAAAATGACACATTTATTGAATTATCATCTGTGCAATAAGTGCCTACCCTCACCGTGTCCATAATGTAGAGTGTCACAGTCACCTCCCTTTGTCTCACTACACTGTGGCCGATTTCTGGAAGAATTAATGAAAATTATTATTTCAAATCAGCAAAATAATTTTTATCTGTATGAGTTATCTTTCTTGGATTACATCTTTAAACTTTTTTTTCTCTTTAAGAAAGACTTAATTTAAAATACAAATCATTTAAATATCAGATTTACACTGTTCAGACAAAGTAAACACAGTCATGTTATTTTTCAATTTAAGGTTTTCAATACCTTGAGCGTGAGGTAAACCTTGTGACACTAAGTATATATCCTTCTATTGTTAAGTTCATGGTCAAGCATAAATATATGTATTTATATATAAATATTATTTTATATATTAAAAGAGAAATGTTCACTGCCAAGGGTGTTGAGATATGTCCTTTTGTAACCTCCCCCATGACAAATTTTGTGGAATTTTTATTTAACCAGTCTGAATAAATAGTGTCAGATATTGGCATATAATTTTGTCCATCCATAAAAATGGGATTTGTAAAAATATTCAACAGTACATCTGAATAAAAAAGATATGGGAAATATTGAGAAGTACATCAAATTAAAAGAGATAAGAGGTCTACTTACAACATACAGCAACCAAAACAAATATCTCAATCCAAAAATATTAAAACATTTATCTGACTTTGGACAAAGATTATTACCTTTTAAGTAAAATGATGATCATAATGGCTGCTATGGACATACAAAGGAACACTGCTATGATAGATCCCACTATAATACCAACAGAAGGCATTGGTTGTTCTAATTCTACTTTTTCTGAAATGAAGAAAAATCTAATTATAAACATATTATACACAAACACGAAAGTTTCATATAGTACTGAAGCATGTACAGTTTCATTTTGTTTTTAATGAATGTAAAATTCCCAAAAGTGGTATATTCCATGTTTGACTATAGTTACATTTGCTATCCAATAGTTTTATAGTTATCCATCACATTTCTCTGTGTTTCAGTCACAACACAAAATGTGTGCTTACATGAATGTCTAAGGAAACAAAACAGGCGATAGTTGGATCATTTGGCATATTATTTTTAAAGGTTTACCCATGATGCTTCAAAAACTTAATAATGACTTATTTATAACTGATGAATAATGATAAATAACAATGGTGATTAAAGTAAGACAAGTATCAACTCATTTATGAAAGGCTTTTATATCTTTCAGTGTATTTCATTATCATTTGGGAGGGGGACAGGGGGAGGGTTAGCCTTATATCAGTAAATGGTTCTTTATTTCAAAAAGGACATACATTCTTATTCAATTTTATTTATCAATATATTAACTTCATTCACAGACACATTAACTTTCATTCATTCATGTACATTTCTTTCTTTGAACTTTTTTTGATTTTCTACCCTAGCAAAGTTTTAACCTTTAAAGATAATGATAAGATATGCCATGTGAAATTCAATGAAAGTTGCAATATGAATACATCCTGTAATGGATTTCAATCTTATAAATCTAATATAAGGCCTTTTAAAAATTTCCTTTCATTATATTATTGTTAAAGAAAGAGTCAAGCATGAAAGATGAAAGTGAAATCAAAAATGACAAATATGACATTGTGGATTTAGTTAACTTGAATATTTAATTTCAGTGGTATAATAAATTCATGCATTTGTACCAACTTCACTTCATATTTTCTGATATAAGTATATCAAATCTCCCTGGGTACTAGTTGCATGGCCTGCAATTTGGCACACCCATCTAGAATAAAAAAAAGGACCTGAACAGGATCCTTCAAAAGAATTGGACAGCAAAGATTTAAGAACACGAGAACAATTTTATATCGTCACTCTCGTTCCTATTTTTCTTGCTATAAAAGATTTGGTTCAATGGACATTCATGTAGCTTACATTTAATTTCTTGTGATGAATTTGGAAAACAGAAGGGAAACACTAGAAATTCTGATGTTTCAAAAATTTGGTTACTATAGTGATCTGCCAATAACATATATTAATACAAGTTTCTATACCTACTAATTTACATGTGATGCCAAAATTAAAACAAAATACAATTATAAAATCCTTATGATAATTAATAGAACTTGTAATCATACTAACACTTAAGGAAATGTACGTAGCACTTAAGTACTTGTGAATAACATGAATGGAGTATGTCGATATCATATACTGCCATCGTAATGTGCATGTTTTACACCAAGTCTGTTGTCATCAGATGTTTATCATTCCAATCTTAATTCTCACTGGTCTTCCCTTTGTAAATCAAAACCAAAAGGTACTTTACATAATACGCTTGATGTTTTTTTTATGACAGTGCAGTGTACTTCAGTGTCTTTTATTTAGAACTGTCAGAAATTTGCACTCTGGTGCAAGATCAAGACTTCAAAAACCTGTTGGTTGTGTTATTGTAAATAAGATTTCTTGGTCGAATGTGGCTGTTATTTCCTTTACGTCTTTCGTGATGAAGAACACCAATAAAAGAGTTTTCCTTTGAACAATGTTTTCCTCAGTTTATCTTGTGGATGTTAAATTATGTGTATCATCTAATAGCACCCCTCTTTCCCTTTCAATGATTTCATTATCTATTCATGCAGCAGGGTAAGATCTAGAATTTTCAAAAAGGTCGCTTGGAGAGACTCTCAGAAAAAAGTGGGCAGTTAAAAACTGAAAAATGTACATCTACGAATCTGCCCCTCTGAAGATGGTATATTGGTTTAAAAGAATTATCCCTGAACATCACCAAGGTCTTACCTAACTGGTTGTCTCCATCTTTTATCTGTAATGGATCACTGTAGTCTCCCCAACCTTTATTGGTAGTCTTACCTCGAATCTGTAAATACATACACATTCATGTATAATAAATTAAAGACTAATGTGCAATGTGTTTAAAAATAAACGAATAAGAAGATATCTGGGTGTATATCAATTATAGTAAGAGCATCCCAACAAAACAATTAACCAAAAACATCTAGAGGACATTAGACAGTCTTCAATAGTAGACTGCTTTAGACTGAGTATTAGCTTTATCCTCATCTTCACTGAAAAATCATAGCTAAATGGACACTAAAACATTTGTATTGTATTTCAACTTATGTATTGAAAGGCCATTTTATACATGTTCATGAATCATACAGAATGACATTTTTCAACTAAGATGGTAGATTTATTATTCCTTAATGACTTTATATAAAAAAAAAAGTTTATTACAGAAATTCATCGACTCTAAAACTAATAACTATGATCTCTACTTCCCACAGAATTTCTAATCTTTCCATCCAAATATCAAAGAAACTGCACTAAGTGTTGCTGATCTCTTGTGTGCTATATAAAAACCTTCAAACTAGACAATGTCATCATAGTCAGTTAACATTTTACAATCTGAGCAGGAACAGATATTCAGTCATCCATAATCAAATCAAAAACTTCTATTTTGTCATCTATTGAATTAACCTTTAGTGCAGTCTAACCAATAGAGAATAATAATAAAATAATAACTTAGCTATTCTCCTTGTGTTCAGACAGAGAATAATAATAAAATAATAACTTAGCTATTCTCCTTGTGTTCAGACTGTCTCCTGACTCGGTTCCTATCATATATACTAACTATTTTATACAAAGTCAAACATTTATGCATTTACAGCTAGCTTTTGATAGTCAAAATATGTTGTTATATCATCAAATGAAAGATTTCTGACAAGATTGCTTTACATTCCTCCCTTCAACCAACATCAAACAAATTGGAGAAACTGGATGAATGTTGACATCTAGATGTGATTGTGTTTCTTGTCTTGTTGGCTTGCTGTCTCATTGTTGTATCTCTTTTCATTCATATGGATGAATTCAACATACAAAAAATTAACTGGGAATGGACTGATCAACAGACATTATATTCCAATATATGGCTTTTGCAAACAATAGATAAATACTTCTTTTCCCAGGAAAAAAGTAACACTAGTTTGATTCAAACCTTTTTTTGGATACAAAATCAGTATGATGAATAAAAAATCTGCTAAACCAAAAAGCAGAGAAAATTTGTCATTTATCAGTCTCCCTATAACCCATATTATAGAAAAATATAGATCTTCCTGAATTTAGTGCTATAAAACCAAGTCCCAATAGTTTATGCTTTCATCATTGACTCAGAATTCTACAGTTATTTTTATCTTGTATATATAAATAAGCATACATGTAATCAAATGACATGTTAGTTTTGTACTTTGTACATAAGCATGTCACACTATTTTCCTCCATATTGCAAATTATTGTGCTGAAAGCACAGATCTTGTCGTCAATAATCCAGCATTCTAACTAAAGACATTTATCATTGATTCTTTAATTCTGTTCGAAAAATAATTCAATAAAATCTTTGCTATTTTTAAGTAATTCATTTTTTCTAATCCTACTGATTTCCTTGCTTCTCCTAATCATCTTAGATTAGATTCACTTTGTTTGATGTTGTTTCTCTCGTTCAACTTTAAAGTTGTCAATCTAAGACAATTTCCCTTGGAAATGAGAGACAAACAGCAACAAAGTGAAATTCTCTAATTCAATTTGCAAATCCATTTTATTACGATGCCATACAGTTTTGCCTCGACGAATAACAACTTATGAAATGAAAAAGCCCATTGTATCCTAAAATCTATATAACTAATAAGATTTTACAGGGCAATTTCACCATAAGTTTTTATTCAATAATCCCCGTACATAGTTTCCAGTAAGTAATTCTGGATTACAATCATGCTTTTGTACACCACTCCGATAATTCTACAAATTTATCAGCAAGCGAATTATTGCTTTTTTAATTTTCAATTACCAAGTCGCCTGAGGTATCTATCAATAGTATCCAAGTTATTCTTAGATAACATGGTGTTCCGTCTATAATATGGCTGAAGCTGAGCTTTCCAATTGTCTCTGTAATATACTTGGTCAATAGAAGGAAATTCAATTGAAGACAAAACTGGTTGAGATAGATTGTCCGGTAGTTTTAGTTAATGTCGGACAAACAGGTCATGTAATCTAAAACAGATTGGTCTTGATTAAATCTTGCCGTCTCTACGTCTTACTATTATACAAAATGTATATATAAGTGATCAATGGCTTTCTTTTTCTCTAGAGGAATCTAAGATCATACAAATTTAGGTTTCTTAGGTTGTTCACATTTTATTAATGTTGATTTTTTTACAGCGAATGTTAAATCCGTGTGGCTTTGAAACAGAAAAAGCAATTTGTCAAAGAATTTTTCCAGCAAAATAAGTGCACCAGAGGGAATCAATAATACAAATAATGTAATTTTACATATAGCAATTATAATGATTGATTATTGCTTTCTTAAAGTCCTGTGGCAAATATTTCACAGATATTCAGGACAATCAAATATGATGAAATAATTCTTGAAAATGACTGTCACTTTGAATGATTTTCTTTTTATAGTATGAGTAGTTTACTTTCATTTTCTAAATTAAAAAATATTAAACCCAAAGAAAGATTTTCATAGATGTTTTCTTATAATTTCCCAGTTGCAGGGTTTGAAATTAGCATGGGCCCACTCGCCAATGGCCCCTAAAATTTGGTGTGGGCTACTAAAATCTTTTGCTTTTCTTGTATAGAACTATATATACTGGCTACAAAATTTAAGCTGTGGGCTACCATGCCAAAATTTTAACTACAATCCCTGAGTAGTTTATGTGTTAACAGGAACTACAATTAAACTTTTTATAGTTCATCATTATGTTTAAAATATCTCCTTTAAAATGGATATGAAACCCAATTAATTGCAGAAAAACAACTTTTTAATATAGTGCCAAAAGCACTATTGGCAATCATGAAAGTTATTACCCATCCCTTTAGAGACAGTTAAAAAATAGTCCATTATTACCAATCCCTTTAGAGACAGTTAAAAAATAGTCCATTATTACCAATCCCTTTAGAGACAGTTAACAAATAGTCCATTATTACCAATCCCTTTAGAGACAGTTAACAAATAGTCCATTATTAACACTTTGAGACTTGAAATTACTGCAATTCAATTATATGTGTGTAAACACAAAACAATACAGTGAAATATTCCGAAATTATCATTGCTTTTTACTTTTAACTTTTTATAACTTTCTGATTATACAGTGTGTTCAGGGAGGAACAGTTAAACAAGGTTAATCATTTTAGAATGAACCTGATAATTACATCACTTATTAGTTTTATAAAACAAAATTGCTCTATTTAGATTATTTCCTTTTTCCATCAATACCAAATTAAACAACAAAGTCAACAAGAGATATAGCTGAAGATTATCCCCCTTGATTGCAGATTGGCACAATTTAACGCTACTATTTCTAGTACCCTGGACTATCAAATTAGGCATCGAAAGTGGAATTTCCCAAAAGACAAAAAATCTGCTTTCATTTTAGACTCAACATTCCTATCTTTACAATCCCTATTTTTCTACTTGGCATGATATTGCTGAAATGCTTAATTACACTTTTGATGTTACAGCAACGCATAGATAAAATGTTCCGATCGTTCCCCGAGGAATACATATTCTCTGGACGGACACCTATCACTACTGAAGTGATATGATTAGGATATGGTCATCTTCATGTTAAAGCAACAGATAATCTAATTACAACAGAACCAGCTTATGCATGCTAATACACTGCTATGTGGGAGAGATCATTCGATTTTACACAATTGTGTATCTAATTAAGTGACGAAAGGAAGAAATGGGCTTCTCTTTTTCAATCTCTAAGATTTCTAGCTATATGACGCGAGTTTCTCATTAATGTTACAACAGAGTGTATATCAACCACGCATTTAACAGTTTTTAAGTAGAAAACTTAATTCTAAATTGTCAGTGCCTATATGTGGTTGTAAATATTTCATAAATTTGAAATTGTTGATATTTTTTATACTTGCACGCTGTGGACCTTAATGTCTGAATTAGAGGTCTATATTTATCTGAATTTCATTAGAGTATTGATTTTAACTCAGCATGGAAAAAGATCAGATTTCTGTCCCCAAAAAATAAACCTTTTTCACTATCATGAAAATTTGCTGCACATCAAAATTACTATTTTTATGCTTTTTGAATTAGTGCATCTAACAATCTTGGTGCTGTGACAATTGCAATCTTTCATGAGAGTAAAATATCTGCACTTTGTGGATATTCTAATAATTACATACTAACTTAACACAGCCTTTTAAAATATTTAATAAGCACAGGTTATAAATCTAAATTACTGACAAACAACGAAATGTTTTATAAAACTTGACACGATATAAAGTAGCTATCTTTGCTCTCTCTCTTTGTGACCAGCCAAGTGTATATAATCATAAAATAAAAATATTTCACTTTAAAAGGCAAAAAACTTTATATAATGCTATAACAATTATCCTAATCTGTTTGGGTAGAATAGATTTTATAGAAAGATGTGAAACTTAAGTCCCCGCTGCGCCTTTCTCTGGCAGACTGATCACATGTATAAAGTTCATTTAAATCCGACACCATGAATTAAGATTTGTTACGAGGGCTTACAAAGCTTCACCTTAAACATAAAGCTTTTACACAATGGTTATTTCGATATTACATTATGTCACAAGCTATGTTTAATTTTTATGCTTTGCTGTTAACTGCTTTTTTCATTTTGGAGAAGTAGCTTCATAATTATAATCCACCATTAAAACACGATCAAATGTTGCTTAATTCACATAAATCTGTGAAAACTGACTACAGCTTATATTTAAACAAGTCCTTAAAATTATTTTTCTTTTGCATTTTATGCAAAGAGGGAATTTTTGAAAATTTCGAGATCACACTAAAATCTGGGTGGTATCTTAATACTTTTCATTATGTAGAGCAATTTGAATCTCTTTTATACTATTTAACAAAATTCTGTCATGCTCTTAGGTAAAAATCCTACCATAATGTTGATTTTGAAATTTATTTGAAAATGTTGTATTGATCAGGACACAGAATTAGCTTAAGTATTTAGTTGATTGAAAACTAGCAATTTGAAATTTTAAAATAAGTTTTGTTTTCAGTTGTAAACATGATAATGCTGTTGAGAACTCATTTAATTCCTCCTGAACAGGCATGAAATATTTGCCACTGATCATAAAGCAAACAACAATCAATCAATCAACCAATCAATTGAAATTGAGGAATAGTAAGGCAGCAAAAAACCCAATTCTCTCATTTGGCCTCCAATGAAATTGAAAATAAAATTATGATCTGCCTTTGGTGGTAGTACTAACACATTGTAATACTGCATCATGAAGGTGTTTTCCCAATGTTATTGTCATTTCAATAAGTAGACATAATTAAGAAGATGTGGTATGAGTGCCAATGAGACAACTGAGACTCCATCCAAGTCAAAATTTATAAAAGTAAACCATTATAAGTCAAAGTACAGTCTTCAACACGGAGTACCTGTATTATACTATTCTGTCATACCCCCCTTCCCTGCCACTGTTACTGTACCTTTGAAGTCCCTTTTTTTGCCATTAGCATCAGTAATGCATAGTTAGATTAATTTCATGTGTTGTTTCTCACAGATGTGACCACTTTTCAAAGACAAACAATAAAATGTTTGAACCATAAAATCGAAAGACTAATTTCTTCTTAGTGTATCCTGAATAGTTTTTACCAAACAATGAAATAGAACCTGGTTTACTTAAGTATGAACTGATCCATAGGTTTATAACAAATAAATTAACTGAATACTCATCAACTAATGTATATTTATTACAAGATGTGTATTTAGTTATTCAACAATCGTTAAAATCTTTTAATTTTTAATGCAGTTCTCAAAAGATCAAAGGATGTGACAAAACGCTTTAACCAAATCTCTCTAGCATTAAGTCGGTGATATTTGTGTTTCAGGACGGCTATTATTGCAGTGGAAAACCCATCTACTATTTTTTGTCAACTGTATTTGCGAAACTTGATTCGAAATTCTCTATTTTATTACCGAATCGAGCAAATATTTGATTCTCATGAAAGTGTCAAGTTATTGATCTGAAACATTCTAAGAATAAAAAAGACTCTGCTTTCAACATTCACTTGGCTTTTATTGTTATTTTATAGTTCAAACTGTTCGCCATATCGCTTTTACTTATAATCGTTGCTGAAACAATTTACAGAAGAAAATCAATACAAAGTTTATTAGATAGAAAATTATATTTTGTGCTAGAAATTGACATCCTGAGTTTTGACATAGATTTCTGTCATAACGCCCTATTTCATCAGCTGTTTGTTAGACAAAAACCAGAAAAAAAGATACAAGTCAACGACTTTGACAGGTGTAACTTTAACAAGAGCTCTAATAAGATGCTTAGAGCAAAAAAGTATGGCTAATTTTTTCTAAACGGCTTTGGATCTTGATCAATAGCAGTTTGCATGCCAAGTACCATTACAACAAACTAAAACATCCTAAGAATGATCTTGTCAAGGAATAATGTCCTCTATCAGGATAAAAAAACAACAACCAAATCGTAAATCAATCAGAAATCAGTTAAAACTATACTGGCTATTTAATCATTAGGTTTTCAATGTAAAAATAAAACATCGGAAATCCATCTATGGCATATTGAACTGTTGACTGTCTGTGTTAGAAAAGGATTTTTTTTTTTTAAAGATTATAGAAATAAAATCTTATTCTTAACCTTTTTGAAATAAATGACCAGTGGCAAATATTATTAATTATTTGACAAATACGTTTCGTTACAATAGAAATATAATAAATTGCTACATCAAATATTTTGGATACCTCAATATATATGGGAAATATATGAAGAAGAAAAAAACAATATATGTCCATAGGACACATTGCCCCACTCACACATGTTCCGTGAAGCACAAAATCTGGATCAAACCCTAAATTTGGCATTCATTTTGAAATGTTCACATCATAATTCCCTCTGATGTAGACGTTATAAATCTGGATAAATGAAATATTTGAAAGCACTCGTTTTCCTCAAAAAATATAATGGTATTACTTTGTATATCTATTTTTAGATCTTACTGTGGCGACAAAAATCAAGATGTTGATAATATTATCGGAGGAATATTAAAATTATTAAATTTTCATGATAATAAAAGTCAGATCCTTTTCTAAAACTTATTCTTTGACAAATCAAGAGTTTGGATTATCTCAGAAAATACATAAAAATAATCATTTTTACATCTTAACAGCATAATGCACACGAACCAAAATTCTTTCATCTTCAACCGATAATGCAAAATCTGAATTCCTTGGGATTTAATTTTTCCTGAGAGACATGCAAAAAGACTTGATGATTTGATATCAGATTCATAGAACTCGAATGAAAGTGAGTCACAAAGCAACAACCAATTGATATTGGACTTAAATTTCGTTCACAAAATGAAGTTTCGTTACACTCTGAGATCAGGTGACATGGAAAAAAATCAGTTTACCATTAGATATAAATTTACTTGATCGATGGATTCTAGACAACATGTAATACTGCAAAAATCGAACAAGTTAATTTGATTAAAAACCCTGTCCAGTCTATTAGAAAACATTCCTAAGATGTGTCATGATCACCCATCAGGACACAGTCTCGTCTTTCCTAAGATGTGTCATGATCACCCATCAAGACACAGTCTCGTCTTTCCTAAGTGCAAGTGACAATTATCCAGTAATTAGTGGTTCCACTAGGGAAAGAAATACTATGACTGCATTTTCATAAGAAGTAACACAGAATGTCTCATTCATACAACTGGAAAACCAAATATTAAATTGAGTTTATCAACTCTATATTTATACTTGGAGTTATTGCATTTTCCCACTAAATTTAAGTCTAAAGTCAGAAATTAATGCTTTGCAATAAAATAAATTTTATGCCTAAGCTACTTAAATAAATTTTATGCCCAAGCTAAGCACAGAATGTGAAAAAAAATGTGATAGATGATATAAATACATTAGTACAGTGAAACCTGTGTAAATCCAACCCTGTAATGGCTGAAGAATTTGTCAGGTTCAAATAGGTTCAAAATATATTGTAGGTAGGGGACTTAAGAGACAAAGGAAGTCGGACTGGTTTCCACTTTAGTCAGGGTTCTGTCTAGGCAGATTTCTCTGTATAAATAATTTCACACTTAATCAACAAGTAACAAACCTGCACATTGTAGACTTTTGCAAGATCCAAGTTGTGAAATGTGTAATTAGTGAATGTGGTCTCATTAGATAACACCAGATTTGGGAATCCAGAGGGGTACCATTTGACCTCATACAATTCTACTTCCTCCTTGACATGTTGGGCCAGCTCCCATGTTATGACAACGGTACCAGAAGAAAGTTTTTGTACTATTTTTAGATTGTCTATAACTGCTAGACTGTAGTCAGTCCTGGCTTTAATTGAATCACTTTGTGGCTTCTGTTTGCTTGTGACTGTAACCCCATTGTGTGCAAAGACAGTTATGTTGTATTCTGTGCTTGATCTCAAACCTTGAAGTGTAACACTGTAAAATAAAAGTAATCAAGTGGTTACATGCTTGGCCATAAGAATATCTGGGCTCTCAGTCATAAAACTTTACTTAGTGCTCAGAGTACAAAGTTGTTCTGGATTCACAAAACCAGTATTTTGATTGGCTGAATTCGGAGTTTGTGTACGATATAAAAACTATAGGTCACCTTACAACCTTCAACAATGAGCAAAACCCATAAGATGATAATTCTCAAAATTTTTATGACCCTTACTCTCTCCACACACCTGATTGCTCTCCTTTCCAGAGATTTTTTTTGTTTGATACCTTGATTTGTATCTTTAAAATCGATTTATGAGATTTGAACATCAGTATACTACTGTTCCCCCGACAGAAAAATCTTCCGTCTATCCTTCAAAAAATCATACTCCAAACTATAGACACTACAACCTCATTTTTTTTGCAAGAAAAAAAAATTCAATTTGCAATAATTATCAATGTCTTCACTTTTTTCATTTTATTCAAATTTTCATTAAATTCTGTCACCTTTCCGTCCTAGAATTGATTTTCTTTACAGCATATAACAAGGGATGATTTATATCCTGTCATGTCATGGTTAGGATTCTGTGGACGCACAGACTTGTGAAAAAAGTCTGAATCATATCGTAGGATTCAATGACAATAACTGTTTTTGCCTTCAACTAGTTAATTTACAAATTGAAGACCTAATATTGTTAAATCCACTTCAACAGAAGGTTTTCCCTGGTAAACTTTTAGAGCTGTTCAGGAAATGATTGTATTTTGATATAGATTATAGTTTGCTAGTTAGATTTTTAAGAATGATATAGAATTTTTTTTAATTTCATATTGGGCAAACAAAAAAGGTGCTTCTGAATCCAAAACATATTATACTTGGATTAGCCTTGCAATTTTGTGTTGGTTGGACTTTGTAAAAACCTCTGTATTTATTTTCAGTAAATCACTGAAAAATACACTGAATTGTTGGTGTATATAGAGTGAGATTGTTTTGTAATTTTTACTCATGTCTTGAACAAACATAACACTGATAGATGTGTGTATAATCTTCTTAAATTTTAATATTATAAATCTCAAATAATTTGTTTTCAATTTACCCTTTTTTTTTTTTTTTTAAGTTTTATGTATACTTTGAAAAAAAGGCCATCTGCTTCAGAATAAAAAAAAAATTTTGTAGCCCTTAAAGTAATTCAGGAGCAACATGCATGACTTTCTCATTATACAATATAAATTATTTATACAAACCTAGTAGAATTTAGTTCATCGCTTGGAACAAAGACAACATTGTGATCACAATTGTAACAGATAACTTTGTAAAACAAGTCAGCACGATCACCATCGTAAACAGGCCTATTCCATATCAGAGTCAAGCGATTGTTAGTCTTGTCAGTCACTCTTAAGTGTGTTGGAGCTGAAGGTGGTTCTATAAATACAAAAATAAATGTTTCATTTAAACACATTGTAAAACTATATTTGAACAAATGATAGATATGGGGTATGCATCAAAATTTATACACATAACACAAATAGTATAATCCACCCCCCACCCCAGTATTTCTTCTGAAATGCATATATTTTGTTCAGATTTTCCATTGCTTGTATAGACTTTTGGTTGTAGTTTGTACTGGATTACAATCATTATACTCAGGTACTCAGTGGCCAAGTGGTCTAAGTGTTTCCTCTACAGTTATCACTGGCCTGTCAACACTTAGGTTGTGAGTTCAAACTATGCTCATGGCAGGTGCATTAGACTCCAATCTTAATTGACAAGGATAGCCAATTTTTCTTCCAAATCAGTGGTTCTCTCCTTGTACTCAGGTTTCTTCCACCAATAAAAATCGGCTGCCATGTTAGAGTCGATAATGTCAAAGTAGCATTAATCATCAACAATCAATCAATCAATTTATAACTGAACAATGATAGCTCTTTCTGGTTTAACAGAGTGTACCTCCTGTGCTTTTCTTGTTGCCATGTAACGGTGCTCTTCATCTTACAATCTGAGATTTTTTTTTGTTCTCATATCTATTTTAGTTTTTTCATTGGCAATATATCAACATTAATTATTTTTTAATTATATGTAAGTAAAATGTGGTAGAAGTCATAAGTAGCTTTCACACGAGACAATTTTGATTTTTTTTAGACACCTGACAAATTAAACAATTTAACTGCATTTAAAATTTCAATTCACATCACCTACCACTTAAATTTATTGCTATATAATAGATTCTTCCAATTTAATAATTTCAATTTGTAAAATTAGAAAAAATTATCCAATTCTAACAACAACAATAAAAAATTTGTTAAGCTGTGATGACATACAACAATTAAGTTTTCAGTCTTCAACAGATTTCAAACAAAACAGCCCATTTTACTATTTACACCATACAAAATCTCTTACTGACACAGAAATCTTTGTAAAACACAAAATTATTGATTTTTGTCAAGATATAATATGAATTGAAAATTTAATAGTATTTAATCACCCTCCAGAATCATAGCGACATTTCCCAGTCAAGCAAGAAGCCCTGTTTTTTCAATTCTAATTCCTTGTACTTGAAAAAGTGAACAAAAAAGCCATAAATTTTACAAAAGCAAATTTCTTTAACAACTTAATTATACATGATTCATCATAAAGAGTAATTTTTTAATCATGTCTAAAGAAAGACTTTTCTTTAAATTCAACAACAATACATAAAAGTAAATATAAACGAACTGAGGACCAAACCACCTTTCACCTTATTCATACAATTAAACACTGAATATTTACGATTATACCTTGCAATTGAAATGGGATATCATAAAAAAAGCTCTGATTGTCAGAAAATTGAAAGTAGCAATTATATTGATTTGCTCTAATGGATGTATTCCTTTTATCATAATGGAGGTTGAGCTGGTTTCTTTTGACCTGGTCTCCTGTTTGTGACTTAATACAGGTGGTCAATGGATACATCATAACCTTATCAATGATCGGCCATCAAAGTTACCTGTCTGGATGTCATTATATCAGGCTGATATTCAAATTAGGCAATCAAGGTTTACCTGTTTAAAAGATGTGAACAACCCATAAATGGCCTGTATTTCAGATTTTAAATTTTCATTGTGAAATAAGAAAATACCTGACATTTATCAGTTGATATTACATTTTTACCTGTTGAAGGGCTTGTCAAAATATATATTGATAAAAAGCATGAAAACAATTGAGAATTTAATAAATCTTACGTTATTACATTTCATGATTAAGATCTTTTACATGTCTTTGATGTGAATGAATTTATACTTTGAACAAGTTTGTGTCGCTGTCGAGTGTCAAAATTTTTAAATGAACACCTTAAAACATGCTTTTCTTTTCATTGTTGATATTTAAAATAAATTTGTAAGATATTTTTAATCCAGATTTTTATCAATTTAATTTCAATTGTTCTATTTTTGGACATTTCAGGCTAAAGAACAGCCATTATTACACAATGCGATTGAAGTTGCCTTTTTAACCAAGTAGAATGAAGGACAATTAAAAAGAACCACCCTTGTGGAATATTTTTAAAATGGAACAATTTTACTTTATGGTTGACTTATAATTGCACTTATTTACAATCACTTATCTGTCAACTAACTCTATTTTTTACAATAAAATTTTATCATGTACAGCAAAGTATTTAATTTGAAAACTTATGCAAAAAAACGTCCAAGATACAATCGTCTTGTATGTCATATCTTCAGAAAATTAGAACCCTTTTGTTTAAGCTTTTATCATACTTAATGTACGTACGAGTGCATTGCATGTCTTTCTTGTCAGTTGGACTTCGGTAATATCCTGAATCACATGTACATTGTACTGACTGTGGCACATTGGTGTAGCTATGATCTGGACAACGATAACATTTCTGGTTTCCTGCTGACGACTTGTAGTAACCAACTTTACATGCTGAAAACACAAAAAGGCAAAATTTTTATATGATATGCATAAAATGTAGAATATTTTTTTAACTTTAGGTTTTCACTATATTCAAAATCAGATCATTTGAGATTTAAACTTTTGATTTCTGGGTTTCTTGTGACTAAATACAAAATTGACAGAATTTGGCAGAAATTAAATATGAAAAAAAAAGTTTCAGCCACAGACAATTCATTGAAGTATTGTTTCAATGTAGATGATCATGATTGATTGTTGGTTGCTTAATGTCCAATAGCCAATACCTTATGCATTTTCAGTACAATTGATGGATGAACATGGAATTTATAGAAAACAAAAGACAATTTGAAGTTGCATTTAGAAATTTCTAACTAGCAACTCAAATTTTCCCTCTGACAATACCCTTCAATACTAAGTAACATTTTATCATTTCAAGATCATTTTGTCACATATCATGTTTTGAATTTAAAAAGCAAATATCTGTACTTCTGTCTGACAGTCATTTATATTTGATTGTCAGATAATACATCTTTTGGTTCAGACCAAGGCTTAACATAATCCTACTATTTCTCAAACTGATTCATTTCAAAATATGTTATATCCCTAGATAAACAAGTGAAAAGGAAAGAATATCTTGTCTGTCTTGGAAACATCATGATTTATAATGTTCACAAAATTTAATCTCCCATGATTTTTTTTCGAAAGGGAAAGAGGATAACACAAGAGATACAATATGATATATTTGTTGTGTACAATGTATGCATTATTGGCAGTTTATATTTCAATAATTTTCAATTTTTCTTTCAAGTTTATCTATGCATATTGATGAAAAGTCATACTAGATTAACCCATGTACTTATTCAAATATTAGGATCTGCAAATGACAGGATTCGTACTTTGAATATGACTAGACACAATTTTATGCACTAAATAATCCACTGAAGTCAATGCTTTCCAGGTGCACCAATGTTCAATTGAGTTTTTTAGTTAGTAATTGGCAGAGTTTGCTGTTTAATATGAAACATTTTCTTGGCAAAAATTGTTGTGGACATCAACAATGTTGACCTGACCATGGAAACAGCTTTACCTAAAGTCTGGCTTTCCTTAGGCAAAACAAAATTCTACCTACTGACCTTCATTTCACAGAAGGTATTAATGGAAAAAGGGAAAGTTCTTTTTTTTTCGACTAGGTCAGAAACTGTTACTCAAGGAGCACTGAGGCTCAACATAATCTGAACAAAGATGACTGGCCCTGTCCACTGACAAAATGAAGTTTTTACTAATGTCTTACATTTCTTGAGAATCATTAATTCAAAAATCAACATGCTCGTTTTTCAAAAGTATGTGTGTGACATTATGGATGTGTTCATGCTGACACTTACACATTTTACATATTATTAACACATCATTTCTGTAATAAATAGTAACATAGTACAATGTGTACCACAATTCTACTAAAGTTACAATTACTCATGCTGAGTAATAAAGTAATGTAATCTTAAATTTGACCACTCATTTGTAAACATACACCGCAAATTTACATATTATGGCTTAAAAACGCACAAAAAATTATCACACTGCATTAATAAAGTAAAGTAATCTTACATTTGACCATTCATTTGTAAACAGCCACCGCAAATCTACATATTATGGCTTAAAAAAGCACAAAAAAATTATCACACTGCCGTAACAAATTGTAGTTCAGCTTTTAATTGTACAAAAAATAACCAAATTTATGCCTGCAGATGCAACAATATATAATGCGACACATTTGATTTACATCTATGTACTTGTAATGGGAAATTTTACTAGATCATTAACTTTCTCTAAAAGAGTAGGAAATCATTTGAAATAAATAAATAAATATAAAAGGTATATCTTAATAGGAATTTTATGATTTTTACATCAATATTCAGTCATCAGTAAGGAATGAATTCATAACTCGGCCAAATGTTTCTCATGTTTCTCGTTTATATCTAATTTACATATTTTGTGGCCAAACTTAATGGAACCGCATTAGTGAAGTGTACTAAATTAATACATTATAAACATCATACTTTTATAGCATGACCACTAATGATCAATAATCATAACAAGTTGTTGATAAAATGAAAACTAACATCTAACTCACATTTCTACTGGTAAGCAAGCTCATTATAGAGTGGACTACTAACATCAAACTCACATTTCTACTGGTGAGCAAGCTCATTATAGAGTGGACTAATAACATCTAACTCTCACATTTCTCCTGGTGAGCAAGTTCACTATAGAGTGGACTAATAACATCTAACTCACATTTCTACTGGTGAGCAAGCTCATTATAGAGTGGACTACTAACATCTAACTCACATTTCTACTGGTGAGCAAGCTCATTATAGAGTGGACTACTAACATCTAACTCACATTTCTACTGATGAGCAAGTTCACTATAGAGTGGACTACTAACATCTAACTCTCACATTTCTACTGGTGAGCAAGTTCACTATAGAGTGGACTACTAACATCTAACTCTCACATTTCTACTGGTGAGGAAGTTTATTATAGAGTGGACTATTAACATCTAACTCTCACATTTCTACAGGTGAGCAAGTTCACTATAGAGTGGACTACTAACATCTAACTCTCACATTTCTACTGGTGAGCAAGTTCATAATAGAGTGGACTACTAACATCTAACTCTCACATTTCTACAGGTGAGCAAGTTCACTATAAAGTGGACTACTAACATCTAACTCTCACATTTCTACAGGTGAGCAAGTTCATTACAGAGTGGACTACTAACATCTTACTCTCACATTTCTACAAGTGAGCAAGTTCACTATAGAGTGGACTACTAAAATCTTACGTTCACTATAGAGTGGACTACTAACATCTAACTCTCACATTTCTACAGTTGAGCAAGTTCACTATAGAGTGAACTACTCACTGTAGGCAGGCAAATTCTGATCACTTTTATGCAAGGGCAAGGCTCAATAACTGGCAAGGGAAAAAAATGATCAGTTGTTCCTTCTAAAGCTGATCTGTGGGGCTCAGACCATGAAATTGACACTGGGCTTCCATTTTTATCAATCAAGATCAGACACTATTATATCTTTCAATTCCAGTGTGGCCCACCATGAACAACACTGGGCTTCAGTTATAATCAAACAATAGTGGAGGTTTCCTTATCAGACTATGACAGTTAAAGCACAAATTAAGTTCAAAAATATCTTGAAATGCATGGTGTTTTTTTCTGTCATTCTGAAATAAAGTAAACTAACAAATGGAAATTTCCTTTCTCATATCATATAATGTTTACAAAATAGAACCCAAGATGATCTTAAATATCACAGTAATTTTAAGAAGCTAACATACTGTTTAAAAAGGGAAAATTCGTTAGATCTTTCACCCAATACTTTCTAGGTCCTTTACGAAACTTTAATGGTAAGGATTCTTTCAGTGTGTACAAATCTTCCTCATTTTTTAGCCAGATAATCGACATAACTTTTCACATCAATACAAACCAGTGAAGTAGATAAAGATCAGATGGATAATAAAGCAATATTATTACAATAATCCTATTTTTCTTCCCTCCTTTTTAGATGATCTTTGAAGTTAAGTCATAATCATCACCTCATTAACACCTGTTTCGCTCACCTGAGTCAAAACTTTATCCTCTTTGATAAGTTTACTTTGAATTATTTAAAAATGTTGACAATGTTAATTCAACTGCAGAATGTATCATAAAATAGGAACAATTTATGCAAATTAACATTTGAATTTTTCGCATGACAAGATAGAATCGGACGATAAAAGAGAAATGATAAGGTAATACAGTACACATACTTTGATTTTGGCATTATTCATGCAGTACGATTTCATTATTATTACATTTTCCTCCGACTTTTCTATGAGTATATTGCGTCAATATAGAACATGAAGGGGGAGGTTTAATCTCATTATTTGCAGAACTATAGTGTATTGTATCCCTACATTCTTTTTGATGTTCACTTTCAAATTGATCCAAACCTTTTAACTTAGATAGAAATCAAAGGCCTTATGATGCAAAATTGTTGTAGTGACAATTAAGTTAGAGTTAGTTTTCTATCATCTCACAATTAAGTATTCTGTTTGAATCTTTAATTCATTAATGCACATTGCATGTTCGCTGTCCGCCATCACTCCCGTCTCTCCATTTTATGGTCCACGATCAAGGACCAGGTAACGTAACCAAGGAACACATAGGAAAATTTCATGAGACATCCGAGAATTATAAAGTTAGATCTGTAGACTAAGTCTGATTTTAAGACTTCGTTTTCGTAAATTAAATATCCTTTTTCAAATTATCAGGAAATTTTAAGACTTTTCTAAAGTTAATAAAACATCAGTTTTCAAATCATCATGTGATGTTTGAAACAAGGCATGCAAGAAATAGCACAATTTTTCCATAAAACATGCAATACATGGGATAGATCTGTACTTGTTACAGAATATATCAACCAAGTTTCTATTAAAAACAATTTTATGAGTCTTTTTTATGACATTTTGGTCTTAAGCAGATCCATAAAAAGATACATTTTGCTTCCTGGTTGGTTTTATTTTATTTAGATCAAAATTCAATCATGATTTATTAAAAGATAAACTGATGCTAAAGTTTTAATTGATTATTCTAGATGGGGAAAAAACATCTAGTTAAGTGGTGTTAAGTGCAGATGTATATATGTCTTATGATATCTCTCTGCTTTTCAAGCAAAAATTGTTTTTTCAAAATATTTGATGAAATTCAAGGAATAGTTTTATTGCAGCCTTAAAGTATTTATTGTTTTTAACATGAATCAGGCTGTTAGTTCTTCTAGTTTTTTCACATTTTGCCATCCTTAGTCCTTTCATAGCTTACTATATACTATGGGTTTTGAAGGTGTCATGATGGTGGCTTGCAGTTATTCAAGGCCGCAACTAGAACCCAAATAATAGTGAGGTGAGTGATCTGGTGAAGCCTCCAGAAGCTCCAGGGTTTTAGGTAAATGAAAAAA